ATGATTTATTTCAAGTTTTCATTTAACTTTATAAATGATAAGAGATGTTCAATGAAGTCCCATAAACTTCTCATCAATTTTAAGAACTTTACAGAGGATTATTGTTTTGGTCTCCACAGAAGATCTGATAAATGAAAGGAGATGTTCATGTTGAAGACTTTCAGTAAAGCTTCATAAACAAGCTGCGGAAACATCCATAAGGGAAGTTCTTAACACATCTTGAAAATATGGAAAACTTGATGGAAGTCTTAAGAACTTCAATGCGGTTCCAATAGCTTCAAAAATGCTACAGGAACTTTTAAAAAGTTCTTGGAATTTCAGGAATATTCAGAAACCTTAACGAAAATTAAAATAAATTCAGAGATGCGAAAAAAATTAGAGAAAAACTGTGAAAACTTTAAAGAAGTTCCAAGTACCTCTTTTGTGAATTTCAGAGATCTTAAGAGTTCACCGCTCCGAAAAAATAGTTACGTGTGTAATTTTTCTTAAAATATTGGAAAACAATATTAATAATCTAAAAAAAAAAACTTTTTTTTTTTTTTAAAGAAAATTCACAGGCAAAATTTAATCACGACACAAAGTTGGACTCATATCCCAGCCGAGGTCGGTGGGATTTTTTTTAGGCATAAAAATCTCTGGTCACGTCTTCCTTCGGAAGGGAAGTAAAGCTGTTGGTCCCGCCCCATGTGTGTTGATGAATGGGTGCGATATCCTACGCAGGTGTGGAAGCTGCCTTCCTGCACATTCGATTGCCGTCAATGGATGGCAATCGATGTCCGTCGGTGATTAGCACTAGATTGTGGAACAGAGACCGACGTTAAATAAAGGAAAGACAAAGTTGGACTCATTTAACCAAAATAACATCAACCTTTCAGATTTGATGAGATTCCAAATGATTTTTCATGATAAGATAGAAAAAATATTTTTACATGTAAAATTTCTCAAAAATCTAAGAAAAAATCAGATTTTCTTGGATTTTTAATAATTTTTCTTAATATTTGAAAAAAAAACATGCCGTAACTGCAGGTGAGCTCAGACTTTTGATGGAGTTTAAAAATATATAAACGTGAAATTAGATGAATTCAGGACAGCTCCATGTTTTCCATGGGGAAAAAAATCAAGATCCCTTAAAAAGAATTTCAAGGAAGTTCTCTAAACCTTCATACCTCGTTCACATTACAGCCTATATCACGTCATATAGGCTGTCTTGCAATGAGCACTCATACATAGGATTTCCAGTGAAAACTAGATGTATGAGTACTCATTGCAAGACAGCGTATATCACGTGATATACGCTGTAATGTAAACGGGGTATCAGAGAACTTATGAAAACTTCAGAGAAATTATGTAAACTTCAGATATATGCCGGGACTTTCAACAAAGGTCTAGAAAACTTCAGGAAAGTTTAAAAGTATTTAGGAGAGATCCATTTATGTCAGAGCAGAACCAAGATATTGTAAAATTATGGGCTTCGGGGAAGCTTCTCTGATCTGGACAGATCAGATAACCAAAGGGCTGTTCAAATTATTTCAAGGAAATTGCAGAAAGCTTACAGAAGTTTTGAGAAATTCTGGGAAATACCGGAATCTTCAACAAAGTTCCAAGGGAATTTCTAGAACATAAGGGAAGTTGTATTAACATTAAGAAAATAGTTTTATATGATTATCCTGGGAATTTCAAAAAATAGTGAAAATTTATCAATGATGATTAGAGAATTCAAGAAATTCAAGCGATCTACAAAAAACTTTAGAAACTTTTCGATAGTTTCATGGTATTTTGCAAAGTCATGAGTCGAGGACGGTCAGATAGCTTCAAAACAATCCCATTAAATTAAGGAATTTTACAGCTACTTTCAAAAAGTACCGTGGAATAATGCAATATTTCTAGAATTCTATGACTGATCCGAAAACTTCATTAGCACCAAGGAATTATTAATATTTAGGGAACCTCAGAGAAGCATAGAACATTTCAGGGATGTGCAGAGAATTTCAGGAAAATGAGTAATTTATGAAGTTTACTAAGCTTTAGGAAAATTATTGAAAACTAAAGGTAATTCAATTAACATCAGTAAATTGCGGGTACTTATAAAAATTCTGAGAAATTCAGGAAAATCAGAATTTTTTTGGTCATTTTCAGCAACATCAGGAAAGTTTTAACAATTGGAAATGTTATGAATTAAAGCCGATAATTTAAGGGCAGTTCCAGTTACTTTAGGAAAATCTCGAGAACATTAGTGAAAATCTTAGATGTCTTCTATTGTATCCCAAAATGGAAGTCATCATGAATCAATCGAAAAGGTCTCCTGTACAGGCTGCACGAACAATACGTACATTCTATGTGTGTTCGTTAGTTAATCGAGTCACTCTAATACCGCTTCGACAAATTTGCATCATGATCTGATTCGATTCTATCAATTATGGCATCAGAAAGCTGTTGCCCCTACTTGCTCCCATAATCGGGCATTATTATTGAATGCTATTAATTTGCATGTCGTGTTGCCGCACCGCATCTATGCTATGCGTCACATCATTGCGGATGATGTAACTGTAAAACACTCGACGAGCAGTTCGCATTAGCGCACAGATCAATTATATTCCGTCCCTTTGTCGCGTTTATTTGTATGCATAACACATCCCGTGCGCTGGGAAATTGCTTCGACAATATCTGCTCCATCGATATCAGGTATTTCAATTACGTTTTACGCAACAATCTATGCATTCATTAATTGATGCTACTGTTTGTTCCGTGTAATGATTTCCGATGCTTTTAAACCGGAGCTTTACCGCTTGTTTTCCATCAAAATTGAAATGTTTTAAAAAAGTCAACAACACGAACTCGATCAAACAGGTTTTGCACAATACCCGGCATGGGTCACGTTGGCTTTTATGTGATTTTAATTTATAGCCAAACTGAATGTTTTTCGCCGTGGTGGGAAGAAAGCTTTTTCCGTTCGACTTGCCGTGTAGCTACTGCAAATGTGCAACCAGCTTTCGAAAACCCTGCCATGATGCTATAGAATGCTTTCATATCGGTTGACGGTCAGTAGCCAGCAGTAGCATTTTGGCTCTGTACACACGTCGGATTCGCCTGGCAACGATACGGACGAGAGAACCAATCAACGTCACGTTCTGAAGTGTTGTTTTGATATTGGAACCCGGAGGTACAGAAGGTACAGTACCAAAAACTCCAAACTTGTTCACAATCACTCAAAAACGGGCCAGGTTCGGCCCATTTTGTGTTAGGTTTGGTTCAACAGATTTAAATTTTAGCTGGCCAGACCCACGTGTGCAGCCGGAAAAAGGGGTGGTGGCTTACCGAGTATAAAAAATTACCACTGTTTGGAATCGAGCCGCCTTCTGTGACAAATATTTCCAGCGAACAGTCGGCCGGTGTCGATTTGAGCTGAAATGGGAATGTTTGTTTTCGCCATGAGGATTAGGTTTTTTCGCATGTCTAAACTAGACGATGCCTACGTATACTTTGCGAGAGATGATTCTACTGGAGAGGAAATTTATGCGTCCCAGTACACTTCTACTCCGTCTGGATGGTTTCTGTTTGACATTCTTGTTTGGGCGGCAATTGGTACAAGGGTATATTTCGAGGTCGACAATATGTTCTGAGCACAATAATGCTAGTCGGAATCGATGCACTAACATGAACAACATTCGAAGACCTACTATTAAAATTAATTTAATCAGTGTATGTTTCAAACCTATCAATCCAAAAAGATGATAAAGCATTTGAAAAGACTACTTCAATCACAAATGTATTGCAATTAAAACCTCCACAGCGTTAACTATCAACACCAGCTGATAGAGGAAAAAAGTTTTGGAAATTGAGGATTGAAGACACTGCTTAAAAGACAGTTTGTGGTACTAAATTCCGAAATCCTTCTCTGCCACCAGACGAACACAAATTCATAATCTCATTTGTCATCGCAAATTTGTCGCACTTTATTTCGGCTTCTTGGAAATGAGTATGCAATATTTGCTTTCACTCACTGAACCTGCCATAAAGCCTATGCGTGCGCTCCCCGCGGTCACTTGTATGACCGAAACTCACTGTAGGAGCCGAGAAGAGAAAATGTTAAATATATTCCTTCGACACCAGATTTATAACATTTCCCGGGCACCATGCGATCCTGCATGTTGCTCAGCCAGGGGGGAAAGCTGATAGCCAGCGTTTGGCTCGGTTTGGCCTGTGCCTCCATGGGGTGAATGGTATCGGTGTTATTACTTTCAGCTAAATGAGATTTTAATGAGAGAAAGCGTGTGGATTTCATGGAATGCAGAGGGTTGTACGTGGAATACCGCTGGCTTTGTTGTACGTGGGAGGTGGTTGGATTCCTCCCTGACGATTCCTGCCAAACACTGTGGCTGGTAGTGTACATCTAGGTACGAAAACGTGACCTACGTCGAAGGAAGGAAATGCTAGGGCGGACCACGAGGATGACGACGACGTGCAAGAAGACATTAAAATTCTGAACCGAGAACCGTCATGCACAGCACGACACCAGGGAAGGATTAGCACCTGCGGTGAAATTAATTTCGTCGCGTGTATGTGATCCTTTTTTTGGGACTGGGAGTGAATGTTCCTGGCGCACGTGTGATGAAGGTATGCTACGAGATGAGTGATGTGTGAACGTCGAAAAACGCGTTGTTATGCGAAGAGATGACAAAGGTGATTTGTGCCAAGTAGATGAAGAAATCAAAAGGTTTGCGGTGTGAGCATGTAACGTGGATGTACATCATCTACTTTGAAATGGAGAGACTGAATGCGAGTCTATCGTCCCACCGCTTTGGTAACTGGTAACGTCTATCATGGCAATGACGTGTAAATTTTAATAACTCATAAAATGATGATCAGATTATGTGAGAAATTGAATAAAAATTCAAATTCGTGTAGATACGAGTAAGAAAATTTCCAGCAAGCAGTTACAACAAATATAAAAAAAATTGAAAAAAAAAGACGTTAATGAGCGTATGATTTTCGATGCTTACCTGAAACAGTGCCTGGTCTACTTTGGCATTGGCCGGAATCTGAACTTTGTACAGTTTCTGATCGAATTCGGGCGCGTGATCGTTTACATCCTCAACCTGTACGACGACTCGGGTGGTGGAAGAAAGCTGCGGGGCGCCATTATCCATCACCAGGACCTGAAAATGGAGATACAGAAGGCCATAAGTTTATAACATTGTTGCAAGAAAGGGGAACAAAGTAAGACAGATAAGAGGTTCAATTCCTAGCATATGAAATAGACAATATTGCCAACAGCCTTGATAGACCAGCCCTGTGTAGAATGTCCCTGCAGGTATTATATACTAAGGGGGACGGCCCCGCACAGTGGGGAATGGCTGGCCATTAGACAAAATTGAAAAATTTGCATTTCCTCCTCCATTCTATTTTTTCTATCATTCTATACTATTGACCCGTTCAAATCCCAAAGTTTGAACGCAATACGATAAAATTTGAATTTTTTATGCCTTTTTGAGGTTGGTCACCTTGAACTTTTTTCGCATTTTTTCGAAAAAAACGGCATTATTACTCAATCAACTGGAGGTTTAACGGTAGCTTGGATTATGGTGACGTCTGAGAGAAAGTTGTTTTAAAAACAATGAATAACAAATTTGTTTCATTGAATTTTATAGAATCTTAGTAAAGTAGGCCTAAATCTTTATTTGATTAAAAAAATAGTGATTTTTCCATATAAATGAAGCTTCAAAGTTATGAAGCCAGGGTTTGCCATGGTTGACACCAGTTGTAAAAGGTAGCTTAAAATGTAAGGTTTCGAATGAGCATAATCTGATATTGCGCAGACTTGCGCAGGATGCTGATAGTGCAAAATGAAAAAAAAAATGTTTGTACTCAGGTGGCATTCTACAATTTTAAATTAGAATCACAATCAGCAGATTGCTTGATTGCTCATTTTTAGTGCATAAAAACAGCAAATTTTGCTTTATCTATACATCATTCATGAACCATTTTCTGTTATTACGGCTCATACACTAATTACGTAATGGTTTATGGAAGCACAGAGAGTTCTAAGATTTTCTTACGTGCCATATATTTTTTGGGATTTGTTACAAAAAATTTAAGGACGGGATTTGAAAATCATAGGAAATGTATAACGCATTTTGTGTACGAAGTTGAACACAGCATCGAAAAATAGAAAATATTCAATTTGGACCAGCACTAATCTGCAAAGGCCCGTTTTCAATCTGCATTATTCTTTGTGTCTTTCAACAAGCAGTGATAAGGCAGAGAGTCTTTTGTAAAAGGAATGATAAAAAGTGCCCGACACTCTTTATCATACCACTTCATCTCTCTCCCAAACGTAGTAGCGCAGCAGTAAAAAGATACCTATCAGTTTATCCATATATTTCACAAATACGTTTATCGGTTTGAAGTTATTGTTATTATACGTTATCATCGAAATTAATTATGGAATCCAAATCAGCGATGGAAACAGATAATGTAAATACAAGTAAGTTGCATTTGGAGAACAAATTAATTGCGATGAATCCTGAATAACCACTGTCTATACGAGAGCGATCGCCCGTACCGTAAAATAAGTTTTTTTTATGTATGGTGAATTTCTTTGCGTTTTATGTCGTGAAATAGTGATCTAACATTTCGTTTTAATTCATATATTTTCAATACCGTTATAAAAATTGTTGTGCTTTCATTTAATCAAAAGGAAACGGACTAAAAAGAAAACAGATTTACGAAACGATGAAACATCAAGAATCGCTAGAAAAGATGAAAGCAGCCGCGGAAAAATGCTTTCCTTCGAATGCGAAAAAAGAGTTTGAGATTTTTTGGAAAGCATTCAACAGGAAATTTCTACAATTTCAACGGATGCGCGACCGCTTTGAGAAGGAACATTCAGATTGGTTAGAGGAATATGCAATACCACCATCTGATGCACCTTGGCGGCTAGGAAAATCTGAAAAAGCTTTTGAAGAATGCAGTGATCGATCGAAGCGGCGCCGTAGTGAGGAAATTAGACCAAAATATTCGTCAAATCAGTTAAGCTTTGCTGCAGAAATGAGTTTGCGTGCCGACCACAATTACAAAGCAGCTAATTTAATTAAACAGGCTATTGATCTCAACAACCAAACCACTTGAAACCTTATGAGGGGATGGTAAAGAGCAGCAAAATCGTCGTTTCGTTTTCTCTTTTCCTCACAATGATCGACGGAAAATGTGTCAATACTTTAACCAATACAAGTTCTGCACAACGGTGTTATGCTTGTAAGGCAACGATTTCGGAATTCAATGATATAGAAAAAATGCAAAACTTAGAAGTAAATGAAGACTATCTAAACTACGGAATCTCTTCGCTGCACGGTTGGATACGCTGCTTTGAGTGCATGATCCACATTGCGTATCGCCTGAGCTTCAAACGCTGGAGAAAATCTGGTTTTGAAACGCAGTTCGAGGCGAACAAGAAAATAATTCAGGCAAGCTTCAAGAGCAAGATGGGTCTGATTGTCGACAAATCGAAGCCAGGAGGATTTGGCAACAGCAATGACGGCAATACAGCTCGTAGATTTTTTGCCAATCCTAATGTCAGTTCCGAAATCACAGGAGTAGATTTGGAGTTGATTACAAGACTTCGGAACATTCTTATTGCAATTTCTTGTTCCCAGCAAATAGACCCAGCTAAATTAAAAATTTACTGTGTTGATACCGCAAAGCGCTACGTAGAGTTGTACGCGTTGTTTTACATGTAGTCTTCGATGCACAGAATTTTGATTCATGGGCATAGCATTGTTCAGGCGGTGATATTGCCGATTGGAAGAATGACGGAGGAGGCTCAAGAAAAATGTAACAAAGTCATTAAAAACGCTAGAGAGCATTTCACTCGGAAGGATAAGCGTGAAAACACAAATCGGAATATTATTAATCGCCATCTTATCACCACCGATCCAATGGTTAACTCTTATTATGAGAAAGAAAAACATAATTTTAAAAGTCTACCACAGGAAGTTAAATTCTGATGAAGAAAAAAACTGACTCAAGCGAAATGGTACCAGAAAGATGATGATGATGATGATGACGATGATGCTGACGATGATGATGATGACGATGATGATGATGATGAAGAAGCAGAAGAAGAAGAAGAATGTGATGATGCTGATGATGAGGAAGAAGTTTAAGTAGAAGGAAAATACAAATTTGACCAATTGTGATTTTTAATTTGTGCTGTTTTTTATAATAACTTTATTGTAAGGGATATTTTAAGCAAATAATAAAAAAATTATGTTTTCTAACAATGCTCTTCATTGTATGACTTGTTTCATGACCATCATTCACAGTTACAACGTATAAAAAATTTAACAAAAAAAAAACATACAAAATCGTTTATAACGTAAAAAATACCAGTTATAATGCAAAACTTATGACATATTTGGATTCAGCGCCCCAAAATTACCCAAGAATCATGATTTTTTTTTCATAAATTGGAGAATTATTTGCTTGGCCAGACTTTGTATGGAGTCGCCCCACTGTGCCCCGGCGTAGTAGTTAACATCCATACTTCTCTCGCCAAAGTCACGAGCTCTAATCTCATTCCTGGACAAGTTACGAATGACCCAAGAGTTTTAAAGTGACTATAATAAAAATAAAATATGATACACTAAGGAGATTCATTTTGAAAAAAAAGGTATTTGAATTCTAATAGCCCCTCCTCCAGTTTAATTTAGTACCCACAAATATTATCCTGTACAAACATGGTAAATATTGATGAAGGTTTTGAGGTCGCGCAAATGGTTTGAAGTTTGTATGGGAATTACTATGGAAGACGTTTAAATTTATCAAATATTAGTCTAGCTTTGATTCAAATTGTCCATATGCTGTAAAAAAGTAATATGGTGCTGCTATGACAATAACCAACAATCCTAGTGTACATGCGAACTTCCTGTATAAGTAAGAAATAACTCCTGGCCATATAGAATGTTACTGTCTTCAGCTAAGTTGTTCAGATGACCACGGTCTTCCGAATGGTGGTCATATTAGCTGAGAACTCTCTTACTGCGTACCCCGTTCCAGTGCAATGTGAGAATTCTCGAAACAGGGCACGTTACCCCGTCAAGCTCAAAATCGATGCTGGACGCCAAACTGGAAATAGATGTCCGCCATATCTGTTTTAGAAAAACTGTCAAATACTCTTAAATATGGGTATTCCCGGAACGGGGACGACGTGTAGAATTCGAAAATCGATTTTGGATGCCATTTTGGAATCCAAGACGGCTGCTATTGCTGCCATTAGAAATGCTGTCAAATACCCATGGCTATGGGTATATTCGGAACGAGAACGACGTGTAGTTGACAAAATTCGCTGTCCACCACCATTTTGAAATGCTAGGTCGTGACCATTGGCGTAACTAATGGGGGTACCAGGAGGGCCAGGCCCCCTCCAGAATTTTTGGTGTTTGTTTTTGACTCACCGGTATTTTTTCAAGTTTTCAATGCTACTATTTAACAGTGATTAATAAAATTGGACCACCACCAAAGATTTTTTTGAAGTCCTTTATGTTGATTACTTTTGTTATGTTCTGGACTAGAAGAAACAATTTTGAGAAATTATATTATATCACATCGATGGCAATAAAACGTCTTCAGGCTCTACAAATTAGTCATGAGCCCAAGAATTTTTCTTTCGTAAAACTTCAAATAGAAGTTCAGGGAAGATCGTAGAAATTAAGAAAACTTGATAGATATTTTGGGAAATTCATAGACCTTCAGAAATATTCGTAGAAAAAAGGAACTTCGAAAAGTTCTGAAAGCTGCGTAGAAGTAGAGAATTCATTTAAATTTTTGAGGAGCTTCGTAAAAGTTAAAGGAACATTATTTTATTTTAGGGAAGCTCATTATTGATCGGGAACCTCTACATAATTTCAGTTTTTTTTAGCCTCATGGACTTGGAATAGTTGTGGAAATTTAACAGCAAACTTTATAGAAGATTTTCAAATTTCGTAGCATTTTGAGGAGCTGCGTAAAATTTCATATAAGTGTAAGGAATTTTGAAAAAGTTCAAGGAATTATTTAAAAGATTTAAAAATAGTTCAATAAACTTCTAAGAACTTCAGGGATCTGCGCCTCTGGTTAGGGAACTTTGTTGCAGTTGTTCAGAGATCTTACTCGAAAAAAG